TCACAGGCCACCTGGTGTTAAGTGGTTACTGAAGCCCATTACTTACAACGTAAATGCGCTACCCACCTTGAGATATAAGTTTTAAGATCTCAGTATATAGTTAGTACGTACCAACCGACCAATTCCTGCACAGAACCAGAGTTTTTTAATTGCGTTAATACTGTTACGCCGGTAAGAGTGACGCCATCTATCGCCGAATAAGTCGAACGAATATCGAAGGATCTAGTAGCATCTGGAACGCTCGAGAAGTACAACGCCATCTATTTTCAGATAGCGGAAACACACAATACTAGACTTTTGCGGAATATTTCCGACGATTCTAGGGATTTCAACTATAAAAAGTGTTGCAGAGATAGCACACAGTCAGTTAGTAATCGGAACTACTTGAAGCGAAACAGCGGCTGGATCACCTGAAGCGAAGCGGAAGAAGCGAATTGAGAATTTTAAAGTGTTTGTGAAGTGTTCTAAGTGTTGTTAATATAATTTTTAGTTGTACTTTTGTGAAATTGTATTTATCCCTAACCCCAGCGCGTAATAATACCTACATAGGTACACGAGCATACAGCCCACCTAATGGTGGTTGATTACTGTCACTCATGGACGTCAGCAGCGTCATGTACTTTCACTAAAATAATCATGTCCTTCCTACACTTTATATACTAAGTCTGGTCAGAAATACTGTTACAAAGGAAAACAAAAAAAAATCTATGGCAAATAACATTTATTACTTTTACAGTGTGTTAGTTTAATACATAAATATAAAACAATTTTAAGTATAAAAAGCATATTCGAAATCATAATCCAGCGGATTAAGATCGGGATTAGACGACGGCCAGTCTTCAGCTCTGATGAAGTCCGAAACGTTCGTTTCCAACCAAGACTGCGTAGACCGAGGTTTATGACCTGGCGCCGAGTCTTGCTGGAAGGACCATTCTTGATTATTGAACATGGTGTTGTTAAGGGGCTTCACTATCTTCTCAAGAATGGTATCTTGATACACTTGTGCCGATGTTTTGATACCTTTTTCACAAAAGTATGGCTCAGCCACTCCTTCATAGCTAATACCCCACCAAACCATCACTGAAGTCGGATAGTGCCCACGTTGCACTCTGTCGACTAATTGGGAAGCTTCCTTAGAGCTGTGAGCATAAATACGGTCATTTTTTTTGTTAAAATGTTTCTCAGTTTTAAAAAATTTCTCATCCGTAAACAAAAAATTTCTATGACCTCCCTTTGCGTACCGCTTCATTAGTTGTTTCGATTTTACCACCCTATTCTCTTTTAAATTATCAGTTAAGAAATGACCAGTACGTCTCTTATAGGCTGCAAGTCCTAAGTCATATTTTAAAATACGCGACATGGTTCTAGGTACTGCTATCTTCATCTCCGGAGATATAATCTTTTGCTTTGGGACAGGATTTCTTCGAATTCTTTCCCTTACTGCTTTGACCACCTTTTTCGTACGAGCACTACGTGGACGGCCAGATCTTTTTCTGTCATAAACAAGGAGGTCTCATTGCACCTATTAATAGCCCGGTACACAAACATTTTACTAATACCAAGCGTATGGAGGGTTTTAAAAATTGCATTTGGCTCCATACCTACTTTGTGTAATGCAATCACAGCGATTCGGTTCTCTTTATCACCTCACTCCATTTTAATATCGCAAAATATTGTACAATGTATTGATTGGCGCCAAAATGAGAAAACTCAATGAGCAATCTGACAAAAATGACAGATTCCAAATTCAAATGTAATATTTTGTTTATTTTTAATTGTAACAGTATTTATGGCCAGACCCTTTTATCCATTTCTTCATATATTAAAATACGTTTCGAGCTTCTCCACAAAACACACGTAAAACTGTCAATATTCTTCAAGATTTTACGATCGCTTTGACAGGCGATACGGTTGTGAAATGCGCTCCCAGCGTCGATCGTCAAACACTAAATTATTTCAACAGATTGCCGAAAGAACATTTTGGCCATCTTTTTTTTTTTTTTTTTTTTTTTTTTTTTTTTTTTTTTTTTTTTTTTTTTTTTTTTTTTNTGTACCACGAACACAGAAACAACAAAAGGAAACAAAACAAATAAAAACTTCCAGAAAGAGCACTTAGTCGGCAGATGTACCACAAACACAGGCCGCGCGAACAATGGCCGGGCTAACAAAAGCCGGGCGAACAAAGACCGGGCGATCGAGTGGACGATGAGCACGTCCGCACGTGACGGGTGCCTCTATCGGAATGATTGGCCATCTAATCGAAGTGTGTTTTCATAAGATTCTTAGTCAATGTTTTATGTATTTGTATATATTCACGTAATGATTAATAATATTATTATTATTTAGATTCATTTTTGTACGTGTATGTATTTGTAATGTAGTGTTGTTTTGTTTTATGATCGTGATGGGTTTTTTTAGGATCCAGTGAATAAATAATTATTGATTATGTTTGTCGCTTAAAACTTGAATCGAATTGAACTTGAATTTATAATATGATTAATAGACATTGGTTTTGCGCCTAATGCAGTAACCACATTGGAATTTCCATTAAAATCGAAGAATCGAAGAACATAGAAATATCGAATCAACCTCAAATGTAACTTTTTATTTTTTTATTGCTTAGATATGTGGACGAGCTCACAGCCCACCAGGTGTTAAGTGGTTAGTGGAACCCATAGATATCTACAACGTAAATGCGCCACCCACCCTGATATATAAGTTCTAAGGTCTCAGTATGGTTACAAGGGCTGCCCCACCCTTCAAACCGAAACGCATTACTGCTTCACGGCACAAATGGGCAGGGTGGTGGTACCTACTCGCGCGGACTCACAATAGGTCCTACCACCAGTAATTAGTAGTTCAGTTATGCACTTGATATCACTTTTTATCACTTGTTTCGAGGGCAAGAACGACCCAAATATCTTGATACCAGATAAACCATTTATTAGAAGGATCGAATTAAATAGAAATGAAAGAAAAACAAATTAAATTTACACAATAATTTATTTCGATACACTAATAATTCAATTTGCCTATTTATTATAAATTTCACGAATCGGTGAAGACAAAACGTACCTTCCTTAACATATCCCATCAAATCAGGTCTTAAAATCACATCGAACATTTACCATTCGTTTTAAAACTAAACGAGTTTAAAGGGTGTAAATATTATTCATTTAAATTGGAATTAAATGTAGATTTAATAATAAAAACGAATTATTATAATGGTGGCGGATTTAGAATAATCAAAACACAACGTCAACTTACCTAGACAAAAAAAATCTAGACTAAATCTATTGAATTATTGATTGGTAATCTAGCTGCTTTTATCACAATACGGAGATAATTAGATAAAAATGTCAGTAGTCATGTAGTCAATATGTAGTCAAAGTAACATAATGTTCGGACAAAAATAAACTTTAGCTTCAAATGAATAGGGGTGAAAAAATACGCGATGAATTTAATCTTATGGCCATTCGGAATCGAACAATTCATCTATTAGTTTTAATTTATTATAATAACATTTAAAATTTAACATCACATGATTTAGTTCTAAAAGTGACAATAATTATTTTGTAATAAAAGATTTATCTTTACATAAGGCTACATTTATATTTATAGAATAAAACGAAAGAGCCCAGACTATATCATTTGAAATAGCTAGATCTACATTTATAGCTTTTATTCAAAAACACTAGTTATAATTTTTAATTTGATTTTCACAATTGACTTAGCTGTTTACGCTAAAACTCACAAAGAAGCAACCCTGAAAGCTAAGGATGGTACTCTGATCTAGTTCGGTCATATTACAGATAGTCAAATTGTCTACAGATATAATAGAAGACATACAATGAAAAAGGTGTCTGCATACATAGTTCAAAGTACCAACAATAGTTCAAACAACTACAGTAACTTAATAGCAATAATCGTTATTGGCTTTATCAAAAATAGAAGGATTAGAGATTTTTATATATATCACAAAATATATTTCATTGTTACAACATTCCTTTGTTTCCAATACCATTGAAGTAAAGGTGTGATGTGCCGTGGTGGTAATGTGGCGTTGAAAACAAAAGATAACCGTTGTAGATCTGAAAGAGTATGAAATGGACCACTGTAGAGGTAATCGAAGTTACAGTTAGCAACAAACTGGGTTTAGCTGTACGTAATGTTGCTGGCGTGTGATTAAAATCGACAAAATGCGATAAAACATAATCATAAACATGTAATCGACATCAAACATTCTGAAACATCATTAATTCAGTCGTGAAAATATTTATTTACATGATAAAGGTAGTCAATGAATCTCTAGATATATTAGGCGTTTATTAAAAACACCTTCAACAATAATAGACTTTGCGAATAGCTAAATAGTTGTTACATTGTTTAGAGTAAATATGTAAATATAGCGGTAAGCTTTAAATTACAGGCGTTTTGTAAATAGTCTGCTTTGGAATATTAATTTGTACAAGGGGTTCCTTTAATTGATAAAATTTCGTAGCACTCTACAACAACAAAAACATTAGTAGTGGAAACTTATTTGTTAACGATCTTAAAGTAATAGTTAATAATTTTGTCCTACATCTAGATATTCTATGCGAAATGAATACTATACATCTATAAATAGTTTTTCAAATGGACGAACACATGTCATTCCAACGAATGCAGTCTAATTTTCGGCGTTCATTTAGTTATTTATGTGATGCGAACGTTTCTAACATCATGTTAAATGCATAGTTTTAACCACACTAAGTGCACTTCCATACATAATTATCGTGTTTAAAACATTAATTTTTTTAAAAGCCCCAGTATATATAATACTAGCTGACCCGGCAGACTTCGTAGTGCCTCAATCGACAAATAAAAAACCTAAGCTTTTGTATAAAACAAACATAAAACAAACCAAAGGAATCCGACCGAAAAATATTGTTATTTTTATTTAATTCCAAGCATTTTCATATTTATGTACCTACTCTGGACTTCCACGAATAATTCAAGACCCAAATTAGCCAAATCGGTTCAGCCGTTCTCGAGTTTTAGCTAGACTAATGAACAGCAGTTCATTTTTATATATATAGATATTTATATTTTCTTTACCAAATATACGATCCACATTTTGGCACATCAACTCGCTCTGTGTACGGCAGTGCACGAAATGTTCAAATCTATCATATTAACTTAAACTACTAATTAGATAAATAAACTGCGGACAAGACAAAATAATTACACAATAAACATTTCTATGCTATATGTATGCTATATATCTATAAATAAAAACTTTGAAACGTTAACATTTTATAGATTCAATCCCTTGAGATCACACATACATTTCTCGATCACGACCGGATATAGGCTTCACAAGAGTCTTAACAGTTTTCTTTTAAACAAAACAATCTCTTGCACATTTCAACTAATTAACGAACACCTACACTTTCAACCAAATAATCGGGTCATCATTCAACTCGTATATGGCTGTAAGGATCACTCAATAAGACATAGGCCACATAAGGTAACTAAGCATTAGTATAAACACTATTGTTGATAACCTCAGTCGCTTCAGGCGTCTTAAAGGTTCAAACTGAGATTTTATCGCTCAACCCCTAACCCGTTTCTTTGTTTGACATGAACATTGAAACAAACAATTCTAAAACTCCCAATAGAAAACTTTTGCGTATCAACAACATTACAAAAAACTGCGTCTAAACTCTGTAGTTATAATCGGAAAAGACTAAGTTTAAGTTTGGTCTTAATAATTTGCCCCCATTTTGTCCGATTCGACCTCACATACCGTAGATCCTCGCCAGAATTCGGTGGAACTCTTCGTATACCCCGAGAAGCCAAAACAGTCCTCAAATGTATAATAGCGTTAGAATTGACATTCCTATGATTACGAACGTATTTGGTAAACTTAAAAATCCTTTATTCCAATCACAATCGAGATCTCTTGACAGTACCTGAAATAAAATAATTTAGTTTATAACGCGCAAATTTCTTTTTCCCCCACCTATTCTAATGATATTGAGGGGTCATGTTATATTCACCGAACGTGTAGGTGAGCTCACGGGGCTCTAAGCTGTGTGCTCAGTGCGAGTTTTTTAACATTCTCGATAGCGTAAAAGTTAACTCAAATTTATTATGAATTTGTATATTGAATTGGAACGTTTGCCTACGTTTGCCGTTAGGGGCACTGTTTCAACTGCATACAAATTTGAGTTAACTTTTACGCTATCGAGAACGTTAACAAACTCGCACTAAGCAAAGTGGTGACAACACATCCTTATTCCTTATCGCACGCGGGTCTTTGAGGGGGAGGCAGGCGGGAGGGGCGGGAGTGCTTTCGTTGGTGAGTGATTTAGTCGATATATGAAAGGTGTTTAATTGTATTTACATCAGATACCTATCTTTTAGTTAATATAAATTCATTGTTCGTTGTTCACACTTAATTAAACTGTACCTTCGACTGTAATCATTTTAATTCGTTATAAGTTGAATTTTTTATTTGTTTTAGATCAAGTTAATATGATTTGATTAAACTTTAGTTTTGAAGGTGAATTTTCATAAATGACTAATTAATGAGCTTATAAAAACCATAAAGGAGTTCTATTTACAAAACTCACATCGCTCAAGGATCTGTTTTCGTACGAAGGGCAGGTGGCGAATCTGACGTCATCTCTCGTCGCCACACAACTGTGAGGATCATTACAAAGATACTGTCTTCTCTTTCTATCCCATGCTTCAATCCATCTGAAAAAGCATGAAGTGTCACAAATTTTTTTTTTGAAACAAAATCGTCGTGTTTCCTATGTTTTTTTTTAATATTGCTTAGATGGGTGGACGAGCTCACAGCCACTCTGATATTAAGTGGTCACTGGAGCTTCTAGACATCTACGACGTAAATGCGCCACCCACCTTGAGATATGAGTTCTAAGGTATAGTCAGTATAGTTACAACGGCTACCCCGCCCTTCAAACCGAAACGCATTACTGCTTCACGGCAGAAATAGCCGAAAAACGAGATATATAAAATATTTATACAGTCATATCATATTTTTTTTTTATTAAACGAATAAGCTTACCCGACGCCGCAGTCGCATATTAATGGATTCCCAGCAACAAATATATCTTCTAGGAACAAAGAGTTCGGAACCCCGGGCCATCCCCTCTGACTCGGATTGGGTACTCTAGAAATGTAATTATTCCTCAAATCCAAGGTCAAGTTCCGGACTCGTCCCGGCCGCCAAAATACTTCGCCGGCTATTTCTTCGACGCTCGTATTGTATATCGTCAAACGAAGGGACCTCGATTGAACTCCCTGGAAGAAAGCAGTTCGTCGTTTGTTAAATTACTTCAAGCAGACGACCATACGGCCCAGTAATGGTGAGTGATTACCGTCGCCCAAAGACTTCAGCAATGCCAGGGACAGAACCAAGCCGCTGCCTACCGTTAAGTACTCTAAACAAGCCTCGTTTGAAAGACATGTCATAGCGCTCAGGAAAAACCGTGGAGAGCTCATTCCAAAGCCGGATGGTACGTGGCAAGAAAGATCTCTGGAAACACACTGCGGATGAACGCAGTGGCTCCAGGTAGTATGGATGAATTCCACTCCGGTGGCGGGCGGTGCGATGGTAAAAACGAGATGATATCTCTCGGAGACCATGAGAGATGGAATCATCTCAAACAATTCCTCAGAGCACTGAGTGTTGAACATAAAGCACTAATTCGTTCAACTACAATTTTTCTGAAAATTACAAAATTCGAGATACTTCGAAGTTACAGGTGGGAACACAATGTGGCCAAATTTTAGCTATGTTCCGATATGCACTGCGGGCACTATTCAGTGCTCTTACTGGAGAGAAATTCGTTTCGTTATGGTCTGACAGTATACAGTCGCAGTATCCTAGGGAAGTACATGACGTCATAAATCGTCGCCATATTTATACTGTGAGCACTGCAGGTGTTTTTGAGGTAAGATGCTCGCAGTGCTTTCATCAGGTGATCCCTTTCACCGTGCATAGCCTCATTGCAATGATTTGGTCATTAGGTTTATTATACATTACAACTGTTTGAAGAACAATATTTTATGTTACTAATAACTATACTTACGTTTATTATGCTATTAATTCAATTGACAATGACTTGAATACTTAGTATTTAAATCTAAATAAATTTAACACGTACTTTCTTGTTAAAGTAAAAACAACGCCAAAAAACGTCGATGACAGTATATTATACTTCATTCTGTTTTAAACAGTAACCAGTATAGCTAACTAAAAAGGAACAACTTCGCAGTATACTACATAAATTAACGTCACATCTCACAAAGCTTGCAGTGCACATTGGAACATAGCTTTTGTATGGCGTGGAAGACAGTTAAATTTGTTTGGAATTAAGTTTCAAACTTACACTTATTAAATATTGAGTTAGGTATTTCAAACTTTGGCCCGTAATCGTAATATTATTGAGCTTCAAAGGCAGTGCTCCGTACATTTCCTTCCCGAATTCGGTTCCTAGTTCATCGATTTCAACCAGGAGGTTCTCGAGTCCAGCGTTGTAAGTCAACATGCGCGGGATGTTGAAGTCTCTGTGATTCGAATATGACGTCACTTTGAGAGTTCTCAGCGCGTACATTTTTCCGAAGGCGCCAAGCTGCAAATTCAATATTGGATGAAGTTAGATTGATTAGTCAGTTTTAGCCAAAATCGCCCTCAGATACAGCCCACTGAGTTTCTCGCCGGATCTTCTCAGTGGGTCGCGTTTCCGATCCGGTGGTAGATTCTGCGAAGCACGGCTCTTGCTAGGGTTAGTATTAGCAACGTCATCAGGTTTGAGCCCTGCGAGCTTATCTACTAGTTAATGTTACGCTGAAATAGCCTCTCAAGGCTATCTATCAACATAGGAAGGAAAAAGAAAAACAAAATCGAGTCCAAAAGGTACCGAAAACATCTATTTCATAAATTGGTTTAACAATATCTCTTCATCTATATATTTCACTTGAAACGTAATCTACAGTTTAACAAAGTTAAATCTTTAATAAAATTAATTATTGTCAATTTTAATTTAAATAAAAAAAAATGGTTGTCTGTAAAGTTGGTTTACAGACGATAAGGTTTACGTTTGCTAGCTCTGATGTCACGCGACATGAGAGATAAATGTGTCACAAGCTAACGCTTGGACCGATTGTGCCTCTCTATCGCTTGCTCCGCGCTCTCGCTTGCACGCTAAGGTTCAGGCGGAACGTGACACTTTTTCGTGCGTGCAGCGGATGTTTGCGATTTATAAGACGTTATCGCGTCACAAAATTATTTAAAATTTGCTTTTGGCATAGTCTGATTCGGTTAAGGTTATCTAAGGACTGGATATGTCACGGTGATACAACGTATTCTTCTACAGTAGGACATCGAGTAATTTCGATGTTCTTTTTTCTAATACATAACCCATTTTTTTCCCATACCAATTACATATTAATTTTTGTGGGTAGTCAAATTTAATTATTGAAGCTCCTTAAATACCTCAAATATTCGCAAACGTAGCCGCGTGACGTCCAGATACTCCAGACGCGGCGATATTCCGTACAGGCTCGTGTTCATGAGCGCAGTGATGGGGTTGCCAGACAACGACAGCCAACGGAGCTCGGTCAATGAATGCGTTGCCTAAAAATAGAAGGACGAATTATGTACTTTTTTTCGCGGCCCACCTGATGTTAAATAGTTACCGGACCCCATAGACATCTACAACGTAAATGCGCCACCCACCTCTAGATATGAGTTCTAAGGTCTCAGTTTCGAAACGCATTACTGCTTCACTGCAGAATTAGGCAGGGTAGTGGTACCTACCCGTCTGGGCTCACAAGACGTCGTACCACAAGTTGAAGTAAATTAAGACTAGTTCTATTTTGCAGAATACCTATTTGGCCTACCTTTTTAAATACCTAAAAAGTAAAGAGCCTTTTCTTGTACCTAAATAAGTATACTTCAAAGCTATACTCACCACGGGAACTGTTGTTAAGTCGTTGTAGGATAAATCCAGTACTCGGAGTCGGGTTAGGTTTGCTGTCGTATCCGGAGGTACTGATGGCAAATTATTGTAGGACAGATCCAGACTTTTCAGTTTCGAGAGCAGCATTGAGGGTATCTAAAAATGATCAAAATTTGTTGGTCGGAATATATTTTTTGAGGGGACAATGGCGTGCCCAAACAATTGTGTGCATCAATAATTAAAATTTTCTGCAAAGCATCGATTGCATCTAATTTTAATTATAATATAAACAGACTTATTGCTTTTAGGGGTATCGTAAATTATGAAAAGAAAAAAAAATACGGAACAGAATATTTTGTCTTGAGAAACGCAAAGGCATAATTTCTAAGTCACCAAAAATCAAGATGCAGCTACCAAAATCAACAGCTCGCAAGAAAAGAGATCGGAATTCGAAACTATTTTCCTATCTATACTAATATTATAAAGCTGAAAAGTTTGTTGGTTTGAACGCGCTAATCTCAGGAACTGCTGGTCCGATTTGAAAAATTCTTTCAGTGTCAGATAGCTCATTTATTGAGGAAGGTTATAGGCTATATAACTTTACGGTAAGGCCAATACAAGTGAAGAACCAATAAAGAATGTTTCAAAATAGGGGTTTGTATAGCTCCTTAACATTCTATAATTCAAAAATATCTTCACTTTCTACGCAAATGAAGTGGGGGTAAAATTTAGCGTTATGCCAAAGCAACTATTCCACGCGAACGGAGTCGCGGGCAAAAGCTAGTTTTTTATAAGATGATTATACTCACAAACATCAAGCTGACATTCTTCAACCCTAAATGTGTAAGACGTCTTTCGAGTCCTTTAAATATATTGCTGCCTCTCTCCCCGTTATTGAACGGGTTGTTGTTGCTTATGTCCAACCACTTCAATTTGGGCAGCGCCGAGAACGAAGCCGTTTCGATTCGTACCAGATGATTATCCGACAGATCCAACCACGCTAAAGACTGAAAGTCGATAGGAACTATTCACTAGATGAACCAAGTCGATAGGAATTATTCACTAGATGAACCTCAATCTTAATAATGCGATGAATATTTATTTGTTATTAAAGAATTTGCTTAAAGTACCACAAGTGAAATTTATGACAAATGAAAGATAGATAATAGTCATGTAATCCAACAGTGAGTCTGATTTTAACAACAACAAAAAAACACTTGAAAATGACTCAAAATAGTTTTGATAATAATCAATTGTATTAGTAATTAATGAATAAAAAGTGCAATATATATACAAAATACAAAAAAAAAAACAAATAAAGACAAAATCTAAATGCGACAAATGGACATGCATTAGCTAAAGGAAATCAAACAGACGAATTAGAATTATTGGCGATACAATAAACACAGTTGATCGTGTACCTCTGCGCGTTTGGGATGGTGTGGACATGTGATGAGATGAAATGACAATGAGGTCAATGACGAATGACAAATGATAATGAGAGTTTTAACTATGAATGTGGAAGGTTTTAGAGGAAGAGGTAGACTGAAGAAAAAATGAATGGATTGCGTGAAAGACGATATGTGTAAGAGGGGAGTGAGCGAAGAAATGGTATATGACAGAGGATTATGGTAAAAGAAGACATGTTGCGCCATTTTTTACCGGCGGAAGGACCTCTTGTGAGTCCGCATGGGTAGGTACCACCGCCCTGCCTATTTCAGCCGTGAAGCAGTAATGCGTTTCGGTTTGAAGGGTGGGGCAGCCGTTTTAACTTTACTGAGACCTTAGAACTTATATCTCAAGGTGCGTAGCGCATTTACGTTGTAAATGTCTACGGGCTCCAGTAACCACTTAACACCAGGTGGGCTGTGAGCTCGTCCACTCATATAAGTAAAAAAAAAAGGTGATTGGGAGTGGGGCAGGAGAATGATGATCGTCTACCTTATACAAAACGTTTTGTGGGTATTGCTTTTTTTGGTGGTAAACTCTGGTGTGATCTCGTCTAGCCGTGTGGTACATGTACTCGTCGCTGTAGTCCGACTCCTCGGGCCACTCTCCCGGCTCGGGGTTCTGGGACAGGCGCGGACACATCCAACACATTAGCTTCAGCTACGCACAGACCGGCTGTGTACAACTACAGGGTTCATTCAGTACAATAAGCCATGACCATTGCAATTTTGAATTTCCGATACCGGATTACATTAAAACCAGAAATTGTACAAAAATCACTGTTATAGCTTCAAAGGAATCTTATAGGCTCCCAAGGTATACGCCAAGGTTGCTATTTTAAACTGAACTGTCATTAAAGATGATATACAAGTGATAAGTAAACGATTTTATCTGTTTCGCTTGAGACGCATTAGTCGGAGAGCTAGCAGCAAACATTTTGAGTTATATTAATAAGTGAAGCAAAAACTTTGTACCCCTTTTTACGAAAATCGCACGGACGGAGGAGCATGAAATTTCCCAAATTTATAGAGAACATAGAGAAGGAGTGCAGAATGCTAATATTTTTTTACAGTTATGCATAAAAAATACATTAAATCAATTAAAAAAACATTGCACAAACTACTGTGTATTTGACACACACACACACGCATATATACATACACTGTTTTGTTTATTATTTAATTTCTGTGGTCAAATTAAGAATAGATTAATATTGTTTGTCTTTAATATTATTTGTCTATGGTCTTGGCATCATCTGTGATTATAGAAGTAAAATAGTCTTTGACAATAGAACCATATTAACTTTCAAAATTATAGTTGAATTTCGACTACTGGGGGACCACTAGTTCTAGAAAAATCCCAAATGTCAGTATACCTTTAGCGATAAGAGCGTCTATTGTAAACATTTATCTACTTGTTGACTGTTTTTTTGCTTAATGTGTTTTGATGTGCAACAAGTATATTCGCTCTCTCTCTCTCTACCTTTTCCCAAAGGTATTTTTGAGAGCGGGATTTTATTTTCAAATGCATAATTAAAGTTATTAACGGTCAGTGTTTTTATTCCTATAAGTTTTAAGCTTTTATAGTCGTACGCTGATTTATCGTAAAGCGTTTTTATCGGTCAGTAAAACTGTAAAAAAATATCGGATTTCCAAATTCGAGAATTTTGCAAGTTTCTTTTGAATAAATATGTATTTAAAGTACAATATTTTTCTCAACATAAATTGAGATGGTCATTACTTTATGTACACACGGAGCATTCAACAATATAGAACATAACACAAACACAAATGCAATTATTATTATTATATTCAATCGAGCAATTTTACAGTTTGTTAGTGTAAACCAGCGAGTGAAAACAAATTGATAATTACCCTGAATCTTTGTACGAAGTCGGACATCGACACTGTAGGTATAGTGTTCCCGCTCAGATCTAGTTCAACTAAGTTGGCGGCCGCGGCCGGGGCTAAGCAATTAGTCGGCACCCTTGACAGCTCATTATCGGAAAAGTCTAACCTGTGAAACCATTAAACTTCAATGTAATATTGGATTATGAACCTTAAGTCTATTAGGTTAAGGTACTACACGACAACCCTAACGAATTTACCGGAGCCTTCCCACATCACTATGTGATCACAACTGTATAGTGCGGTGACTATTTCGCCATTCATACTACAACGGGTGGCGGTGGCTATCATAGGACACAAGATAAGATTTAATATGTTCCGAGTTTCGACTGCTTCGCGCCAGTAATTATAGGCAAAGATAATGTACCTACGACTCCATTCGCCCTTTCTATTGAGTTGGGGCTGGCCCCTTATGGGGTTCCCGCGGCATATGTGGGATTTCGTGGCTGAAGATGTTAATCCACCTACTAAACGACTGAACTGAAATGCAACACTACAACCAGACGCGCTTAACCAAGCACGGTCCTTGACTATCACCTCGACGACCCCGTCGCCTGTCACGGTAAGGCCACCCCAGGCGGTGATGCTGGTGTCCAGGTACCAGAACCAGCCTGCCGAGTCAGAACCAGCCAAACCCCATACGCCCTCCCACTAGCACTTATTGACTCTTTGAATTTTACGTGTTCTACTTTTATTACCGATCTTGTACCTCCATCGTGGAAATCATTTATGAGCATTTCTTAGATACGTTCATCAACAGGATTGATCATCGGTGACCTGTCAGCGTAATTTGAAGACCGCCCAGTCGCATCGCTGGGCACGACCGAATCGGACGTATTATCTATACTAATATTATAAAGCTGAAGAGTTTTTTTGTTTGAACACGCTAATCTCAGGAACTACTGGTCCAATTTTAAAAAAAAAACAGTGTTAAATAGCCCATTTATCGAGGAAGGCTATATAACATCACGCTAAGACCAATACCAGCGGAGCACTAAATCGGGGATATTTTTACCTTTTGCGAGCTTCCGCTGCGTGCGCTGAAGAAACGGTTAAAGTTTCGCTAAAATAATGTATGACAGAATTGTTCCCCTTTAAAAGATCTAAAAAAAGTCCGCGACAGCATATGTCTATATATTTGGTTTGGCTCACTATAACGTTTTTTATGCTAACCAAATTCGTTCTAAAATAAAGGATTATTTGTGAACTATTCCACGCGAACGAAGTCGCGGACAAAAGCTATTACTTTAGTATAAAGAAAAAATCTACCTTTCCAACGCTGGTGATATAATCAGGTTTTCCGCAAAATTCCTGATGTTGTTATTTGAGAGGTCTACCGACGTCAGAGATTGCATGTCGTGGAACATTCCGACTGGCAGTTCGATGAGGTGGTTGTGGGACAAGTTTATGATCTGAAAAGTTAAAAAGAATTAATTAAATGTTTGAAAGTGCTTCAAAAACTATTCAACAACTCAGTTATTCTTCACCGTCTATTATATGGGTCGCAAATAGCTATAGCTGTATTTATGTGTATAATTGATTAATAATAAAACTACGTATAGCACTCTAAGTTAATTTTGATACTAGATCTGTATATTTAACCATTTGATTTTCATTTTCTTAATAACCCTTTGACTGCCATGTGGGTCATCGGTATCCTATGTGGCGCACTGAGGTAATTATGTCGATTGCTGTTACTACGACGCCGGAATATCTAGTAGACTGAATATTTAATATATTTCTAGATAGATAGACAAATTGAATATATTTTTAAGAGGCCTAAAAGACTATAATATACATTAAAAACAAAAGAAGGTAAAGTTAGGCAATCCAGGCGTTTTAGTAACAGAAATCGACATAATTTACTTCAGTGCGCCGCGTAGGGCACCGGTGACCTATACGGCAGTCAAAGGCTTAAAGCTAAAAAGGGAGGTACCTGTAAATTCTTCACTTTCTTAAAACAGTCGTATTCCATGTGATAGATATGGTTGTGGGATAAATCCAGGTATTGCAACATGACCATAGAACCGAAGACTTCTCTCGTTATGTTCCTCAGTTTGTTGTGGGACAGGTATAACTCGGATAGCGTTAAGTCGGCGTGCCTGCGAATATATAAAGATATTTCTACTTTCAATGAAAATAATTATTGGTATGATATATTTGAAGCTGATGGTTTAACGACACCGAATACTTGAATACTGTTTTTGTAAATATTAAAGCATCGTATAAATCCAGCTAGAATCGTCAAATTTATTTCCATTAAGATTTAAATTATAATAAATAGTTAACTATTAACCGGGAACAAATCACGCAGGGTCGTTCGACCCCAATTAGGATTCCCTAGAGACTGACAATCATACTTATGTACGTTTAAATATGTACATAATAATAAACATCCACAAAAAGAAAGAAATCAAAAAAAAGAGCAAAATACCTATTCATCACACGAATGTTTGCCTAATGTGGGAATCGAACCCACGACCCTCGGCGCAACAGTTACAGCCGGTAACTACTACACCATTGAATCGGTCAAATACATTAGAAAACTTTAATTTTAGATTCTTATAAATTTTTGTTTTAAAATCGATTACCTGAAGTAATAAGGCGCGATATATGTGACATTATTGTGGGAAAAATCCAACACTCTCAAATTTACGGACACAGTTCCGAGACCTGAGAAGAAAAATTATATTAGTTCAATATCATATTGCATCGAAAATAATAGAACAATAATACTGATATCACTTATTCAAAATACCTGGTGATATAGGGAAATCTCCGTAATATGAATTCAATCCTGTTTGAGAAACAAAAAAAAAATAATAATTATGAGACGATTAAATAAAACCAAAATTAAAATAATTACAAAAGAAATACAAAAAAAAGAAAACGGTAAAATATAAATACAGTAATCACCTTGAGCCGAAAACTTGTCTGTATGATTAGTAACGTTTGCTTGGATAGTAAAAAAAGAAAAAATAATAAACATTAGAAAGCTTAAAGGAAAATAAATAAATAAAATAACAAAACTATGAAGGGTTGATGGAAGATAGACGTAAGGAACACCATCCTGTATAGGGGACAAGTTGAAAAAGCGTCCACATGTAAGCAGCAAGTTGTTGTTAGAACACTCACCGAAACAGCACTAGTGTAGGAAGTGGAAATGATATGAATATGAGCTGTTTAAAAAAAATTGAAGTGTGCTGGGTTGAAATGAAGTGTAGTAATTTACAGCGCTGTTTTTAAAATCCTTCCACTTGCTACAGTGGCGCCATGTTAATTACTTTTTAAAACTAAAATGGTGCTTCTAGCTTCTACCCTCCGCAAACAAAACACAAAATACAATTCTTTTTTAAAATGAACGTTTGATAAAATAATGAAAGTTAGATGAATAATGACAATGATAAATATTAATAATATAAATATACCTTCCACCAATGATAAAGCATGCTCTGTTACTGTATCGGCTAGAAAGAAGAAGAGGAAAATACGAAAAGGCAATTAATAGAGAACTAAGAGGATGAAGAAAGAATGAAATAGTCGGTAGGACAGCTTCGAACTCACTCTGCGCTTTCGGTGGCGGATAAAAATTCGAAGAGAAGATACTAGGTGCGTTCGAATCGGTCAATACAATGATGTTGTTGTATGAAGCGTTCACTTTCAGAGCCGTTGCCGTTCCCACTTGGTCGAATATAGAGAACTTGAAAGTTTCCAGTTTGTTGAACGATACGTCTAGCCTGAAATGACACTTAACTTGAACACCAAGCCATCACTTAAATGGCTAAATACCATGTACGGGTTTGGTACAATTATAACTGAATCATTTAGTAGTTAAGATACTTTTTGATAAAGAAACGTAAAGTGCGCGTCAATCTGCAGAAATTAAGGATAGAAATTGGAAAAAAGCGGTACAGAAAAACAAAAAATATATAATTGTACCAAAACTCATATCAAGGCATTTAGAAAACATGAGGGCTTAAATACTTATATATTGGTAGATACATGTTGGTATTAGAGGCAAAATATCTAAAATTGTAGGTTTTCTGAAATGATATTCATTAAAACTAAATCATAGATAATCTATACGAACATTTTTCTTTCGAAAATTCGTATATATCCAATATAACCTAACTATGTTTAGTCTAACAATAGAGTCGTCAAGAAGAAGGTAAATTGACTGCGCACGTAACTGTAGAGACAAAATTTCAAAGACACGACGTTATGTTCTTGAACATTTTCTACGTTTTTGATTAGTACATAATATATTGTTACGCGCTGGGGTTCGGGATAAATAATGGTTCCACCAAAGTACAAATTGAAACTATTTTAACATTTTGAACACTTAAGAACCCTTTAAAATTCTTAATTCATTCTTCCGCTTCGAGTAGTTCCGAATACTGACTGCGTGCCATCTCTGCAACGCTTTTATAGTCGAGACGACATTCCTAGATTTATCGAGTACGTTCTGGGCAAGTCGAGTAGCTTCGATGTGTGATTCTGCTATCTGACAATATATGGCGTTGTACTTCTCGATTTTACTAGTACCTTCGATAATCGTTCGGCTATTCGGCGCTAGATGGCGTTACTCTTACCAGCGTAACAGTAGGATAAAAAAAAAAGTCGAAAATTCGAACTTACTATCTACTGTGTTTTGTTGTAATTATTGTATTTTTACCATTTACCATTAATATTGACAAGCGTTGAGTGGTTATCAAAGTCAACAGATAGCTAATACCGTGGTCTTAAGTTAAGAAGAGAGTCTTAGTCGTATTGTTAAGTGGCTACTATATAATTCGAACCTAAAAGTCACTGTTTTACGATAGAAATACCCAAGACGGTAACGCTTTGGGGTATGAGGATTATAGTTAACGAGGAGGGTATGTAAAAAAATTATGCATACTCTTTGAGAGCCGGTATGTTTTGGAATGCTTCCTCCGAAATTTCGTTGATTCGATTCCCTTTGAGCTTGATAATTTTCAAGTTATCGAGGCTGGCGAACGCTCTTCTTTGTATGTACTGTATGAGGTTATCTTCTATGAGGATTTCTTGCATTTCCTTCAGCTCGACGAATGTGTGTTGCCCTATTTGTTTCATCTGGTTCAAGGAGAGGCATATGCTCTCCAATTTTCCGTGGATATCGGCCTGAAAATTTATTATGGATTATATCACTGTCCTTTTTTCACGAGCTCACAGCCCACCTGGTGTTGAGTGGTTACTGGAGCTCATAGATATCTACAACGTAAATGCGCCACCCACCTTGAGATATGAGTTCTAAGGTCTCAAGTATAGTTACAACGGTTGCCCACCCTTCAAACCGAAACGTATTACTGCTTCACGGCAGAAATAGGCAGGGTGGTGGCATCTACCCGCGCGGATTCACAAGAGGTCCTACCACCAGTAATTACGCAAATTATAACTTTGCGGGTTTGATTTTTGTTACACGATATTATTCCTTCACCGTGGAAGTCAATCGTGAACATTTGTTGAATACGTATTTCATTAGGAAAATTGGTACCCGCCTGAGATTCGAACCCAGGTGCATCGCTCAACACGAATGCACCGGACGTCTTTATCCTTTAGGCCACGACGACTTCAAATACGAGTTTAATACGAGTGCCAAGTGCTTACTTGTAGAGTTCCCTTTGAAAAGTGTTCGATTGCGTTATCTTCTAAGTTCAACGATCTCAAGTTCTTCAAGAAATGAAACGAGGTGTCCGGCACGTTTTTCAGTTTGTTGTTGCTCATGTCCAGGTACTGGAGTTCGGTCAGCGCCTTCAGCGGCTCGAACGGTAGAATTATGACCGATTCGGACAAACCGCGCGCCATCTTCAATGTGGTAAGGCTGTGCAGCTGTGAACGAAGACAACTTGGCGTTTATTAAATTAATTTACAAAAATTGTTTTTTTTATTGCCTACTAGCTAACCCGGCAGACTTCTAAATAAAAGACACATCAAGGGGACACATCAAAGGAAAAACAAAATTGTTTGTTTTTATATAATTCCGAGCGTTTTTATATTTTCTCACCCTTTAAACCTTCCCTGGACTTTCACGAATAATTCAAGACCAAAATTAGCCAAATCGCCCCTGCCGTTCTCGAGTTTTAGCGAGACTAACGAACAGCAATTCATTTTTATATATGTATATAGATATGGGTGGACGAGCTCACGGCTCACTGGCCCAAAGACATCTACAACGTAAACCCACCTGGTACATCTTATACCTTTAAACGAGCAATTCTTGTATATATATATAATCTGAATCTCGGAAACGGTTCCAACGGTTTTCATAAAATTTAGTATACAGGGGATTTCGGGGGCTATAAATCGATCTAGCTACGATTTATTTTCAGAAAATGTTGTTTTATTCGTTTTTTTAATAATCAACTTTATCGATAATCAACTTTATGACTCTTCCCGACATCTATTGGCGAATAATAATACTAATTTTCATAATTTCAACTAACTGCTTTAAAGACACAATAACACTAAAGCTATTTCAGCAGATGACGTTGTTAAGCCACTTATCAAAAAAAAAAACGAGCAAGGCTCGGTCATCGTCTAGTGAGTTTTAAAGTCTCACTTTTAACAGTACAACGGCTGCCCCGCCCTTCAGACCGAAACGCATTACTGCTTCACGGCAGAAATAGGCAGGACGGTGGTACCTACCCGCGCGGACTCACGATACGTCCTACTACCGGTAATTACGCAAATTATAATTTCGTTGGTTTGATTTTTATTATTGCGCGATGTTATTCCTTCAACATAGAAGTCATTCGTGAATATTTGTTAAGTACGTATTTCATTAGAAAACATTGGTACTTGGATTCGAACACGGGTACGTCGCTTGATACGGCTGCACCGGGCGTCTTATGCTTTAGGCCACAATGACTTCAAAAGTCTAGCTTAAGGTTACAGATTAAAATCTAAATTCCTATAACAGCTAAATTACCTCGGCAAAAGCGAACGGGTCGATGTATTCTATGTTATTCTCCGAGAGATCCAGGGTCTTGATGGTCCTGACATATTGGAAGGCGCTCGATTCGATCCTGATGAGATTGCTGCCAAATAACTTCAGGTCTTCTAGCTCCATACCGAAATCCAGGAAATCTTCAGTCTTAATGCTTTGACGTAACAGTTTTCCAACTGACAGAGACCTCAACGACCTCATTCTGCAAAATAAATATGCTTGACTTTAATGATTATTGAAAGTGCTTTTGTGCAGAAGAAAAAGTTCCTACAGGAACTGATCACTGAAATCTTTGGCTTGAGATCGAAACCTCAATTATAGTATACAAAAGCTGTCCTACTCTTCAAACTAGTGGACAAGAAAAGCAGAACGGTGGTAGCTAAATTCCGTAAAGCTTTAAAAACATAGGAACAACCTGATATAATCGCATTAATCGATATTGACACCCCGAACGCCTTACCCATTAGGCCTCGAACTCTAAAAAAGTATCTTCTAGATTTTTCCATTGGTCTAAATGGACGGAAAAATATAAAACAATCGGGCAATGAAGAAACAAGAAGAGTTCCAAAAGAAAGTTCTTCATCGTGGAATTAAATGTTATCAAGAGTACCTCTTAGCATCCTGCAGACTGATTTCTATAGAGTTAGCGCCGCTCACGTCTAACGAAAAAAGTCTGTATTGGAAACTGTTGAAAGCACTTTGTTGATACTCCGACGGCATATTTGTGGTCAGTAAGCTTATGTCAACCTGAAAAAAAAAGTTAATTAATTTTAAAGGGTTTTCTTACATTCAATTTTTGCCTAGACAAGATAGAGAATATGATCTAGGATTTGTGATGCAAGATTACAATGTGCTCCAATAATCCTACAGAGTTATTTGTTATTGATTTATATAGACTAATTAATTCATAATGCCAGACTATTTAAAAGTAATCTGTGTGACTCTGCCAAATTCACTGATGTTTTGCGGCAATCAGGCAACTTCCGTTGTCACACTCTAATGAAAGAATTAGACAAAGATAAAAAAAACTATCAACAAAAAGCTTGCTACTTTTAATCAAATCATAAATAATGACGTCACTGTACAAACCTTATTTTCTCTCAGATTTAAGAACCTTAAAGAATCGAGTTTATTCAGCATGAATTTGGACACCATTGTCAAGTTGTTCTCGGATAAGTCCAAGCTAATCAGACTGTTCTCTAAACCAGCAAATGCTGCTGGAGACAGGTCGGATATACTGCAGTCTCTTAGCGATAGAGACTTTATTTTCGCGTTACGGAATGCGTCTTCCTGAAATTAAATAATAGCTGAATAAATAATAGGAGACAGGTCACACACTTTCACCTGGAATCAATCTTGAATTCTCTGTACTATAGGCAACCAGAGACTGATATCCCAACTTATTTACGCTTATACATAAACATACAATTTAGTTAAAAACCAGATAATAAGCAAACGAACCCGCTCGTCACGATTATATTTACCGATGTGGGATTTGAACTAACTACCCTCACAACAGCCAGCAGTAATCATAATAAATCAAGAATCGTATTGCTGGAGAACTCTTCAATAACAGACTTTTAATTAACTCCGTAAAAGCATCTCAAATGTAAGCCACAAAAAATTTTCGATATTTTAACAGAATTGAGAATGGAATAATTCTTTTTTTCTTGTGTTTGAATTATTTTCTCGAATAATCGTTGTACTTAAATTCTAAATTGTGACTTAGTGAAATTGAAGTAGACACTCACTCTTATCGTCACGATTGGATTCCGGTCGAGGGTCGTCGAGTTCAATACGTTGAAGTATTTGAATGCGCCCGGATACAGAACCTGGATCATGTTGTTGTCTAGTCTGAAAATTAAATTATCTGTCAACTTTGTTTTTTTTGGATTCTAAAGGTACGCGTCCATTGACCCGCGCCGGCGGCACCGCACGCAACGGATTTTATTTTGCTTTATATGATTTTATATAGTGCTGCGTACACTATCCGCAGCGCCCGCATCGAACGCACCGGCATTTACGGGTAAAAAATAAAACCAAAAAATTGAAGGATAGGCAGCGGCATGACTCTGCCCCTGGCATTGCTGAAGTCCATGGGCGACGGTAACCACTCACCATGAGGTGGGCCGTATGCTCGTCTGCCAACATAAAAAAAAACCTTTAAAGCCAAACTTGCGAACCATTAAGCGTCCATTAAGCGATTGCGGGAGTTTATAAATTTAAAAGTACGGTTTTTAAAATTGATGTTACCAAATCAATATATGTGATACTTCATCATTAGGCCCCAGAATTACATACCTGATCCTGTAGACCGAATGGTAAACGGTCGACGTCGCCCTAAACACGTAATTACGGATCCTTCCGATCTATTAACGGAGCGTTTAGGTACCCTAAGCACCGGTCACCGTCCTCGTCGAACCCGTCGCTTGTGACGAAGGGCTCGACGAGCAAATTAACCCATAGACACAGCCCACTGAGTTTCTCGCCGGATCTTCTCAGTGGGTCGCGTTTCCGATCCGGTGGCAGATTCTGCGAAACACTGCTCTTGCTAGGACCAGTGTTAACAACACTTCCGGTTTGAGCCCCGTGAGCTCACGTACATGTTAGGGTGAAGCTGAAATAGCCTCTCAAGGCTATCAGCATAGGTAGGAAAAAAAAATAGGCCCCATGGTGAACAATATTTTTGGGGCAACAATGCAACAAGAAATAGAAAGAATATAAAATTACTTCAAGAGATCCAAAGAAAGTTTGATTCCATTTAGATCATGTAACGGTGGCACTTGTTTTATAACGTTACTGGACAAATCCAAGACCCTCAATTGCCTTAATGGTGACAGTTCCTCATATGGGATGTACGACAGCTGGTTGTCTCCTAATAGCAGCTGAAAATACCATAAAAATTATTGTAGAAAATTCTTATAAAGTTATAGGTATATGCTACTTGTGTATCTTTCTGTTCCCAAAAAACCTAATATTGAAGTACGCAATGTCTTTTATAAAAAGTTAAACTAATATGTAGTTGAGAACATTCTAGATTTTGCACAGATTTTGGCTAAAAAAAAGAAAAAGGGTTTCGGACCTACTGACTTGAAATCAGGTATACATTCGCTGTGCTGTTTCGAATGGACCACATTATCTAACTTCGCAACCCGTGCAGATTGAGTGGGAGACGATATCAAAAGCACACCCCCCTCAGACAAGAGGTCAATGTTTCAATTGACCTGTTCCTGAGTCTGCATTTCCCAGCAGATATAGTCAGAATGATCGTTGACTGTATAGGCAATCACATAAGTCCTTCCTTTTATGGACTATTCTTTCTTACTTACCCTATTTAATCTGCTCATTCCATCACGGAACACTCCGCTATCAATAACAGACAAGTGGTTCCCGTGTAAATCCAGTGTCTCCAATAAGGGCAGTCCACTAAATGCATCTAAGGGTAGGTTTGCTATCGAGTTGTCGGCTAAAATCAATATCTGCAGAGTGTTCTCTAGTCCACGCCAATTGTCGCCTGATATGTCCGTGATTTCGTTGCCTGAAAATATGACTTATTTTTTATTGTTGCCCCTGTGCCCTACCATTGAAACGCTCGATAAACTCGTATCGAATGAGGCGATTATGTCTTGTTCCAAGCCGTGGAAAGGATATCATCATCGTTGGTGATGAAACGACCATCATCTTCATCAAGTAAAGCCAGATATTTATGTGATAATAAAATAGGGCAAAACAGATGTGTCCCGCACCGGTGGCCAGCACGAACCTCACTGTTTCAGTGGTAAGACAACTGGTTTTCTTTTCAATCAAGACTTCAATTCATCGTTAGGCCTTGAATTTTAGGGTATAGGCAAACAAATACCCAATATCTAAGTTCTTCTTTTTCGTGGCATACTTCATTGCTGAAGGTCGTATCCTTGAAAGGTCTTCGTGGCTTTTTGTATCATCATCTTCCATTTCGTACGATTTTTCTACTACTAGATTCTAACTTAGATATGGTATTAGACCAAGTTAGTAGTAAGTAAGTAAGTAAGGTGAATTTGATTTTGATATTAGAAGATTTTACAATGGAAACATAAAATGGGTTTAGTTTAATATTATTATATAATTTTCACTGGTGGTAGAACGTCTTGTGAGTCCACACGTGTAGGTACCACCACCCTGCCTAGTTCTGCCGTGAAGCAGTAATGAGTTTCGGTCTGAAAGACCAACCAAAATAAAATAAAAAACAAATTGCCTCGAAATGGTTAACCATAACCATTCCAAACATTAAATTGGCATCTAATTTCAGTCTAACTTTGGATTTGTAGACATTGTTTCTTGAAACGGTTTTCAATTAACTTAGAAGTGTCAGCGTCAGAACTTAGTTCTAATCTAAGTTTGATAAAGGGTGAATATATACCTATATTTTTTAGAATAAATACGTTTTGTGTGATATTATCTCCATTGTTTCGAAAAAAAGAAAACGTGATAACAGCTCACAGAAATAAGCGTGCAGTATTTCATATAAAAAAAAGTTTATTTTATTTTATTTGACAGTCATGCCAATAACAAGATTTAAAAGGTCTTAATTGTTTGTGAACGATTATTTAATTCCTTAAACGATGAGCTTATACTCCTCTACTGCTAAGTAGTTACCAGAGTCTAAAGACGTCCACGCCATTATTACCACCTACCATCTCGGGATTTGAGTTTTAAGTCCTAGGTCTATAGCACAACCGTTGCCCCTTTAAATTGGAACGCAGTACTGCTTCACGGCGGACATAAAAGGGGTGGTGGTGCCTACCCGTGCGGACTCACAAGAGGTCCCACCGTCATTAAACCACGAACAAAGAAATAGATACACATAAAATCATTTATTTAAGGTATATTAGTATATTTTAATTTCACCCTTTCTATTTGTATATTTTTCTTCAATATACAAATAAATTGAATTCTACTGTTTCATAAAATCTATTGATTTATAGCGGACTCAAATATAGCTTGAAGCTACCTGTTAATTAAAAGTTACGACCGACTACCGTTACCTGTGGTATGACAAATTTTTCAATTCAGATATAATGCCTTCACTATTTACTTATAACTGACGATTTACAATAGAATCTCCATGATTACCTGATAGGTCCAACAGTCGTAGCTTCTGCAGATATCTTAACGCTCTGCTCGGTACTGCAATCAGTTTGTCTTCACGTAACTCGAGCTCCCACAGTGTATTGTCTAAGCCGTAAAAGGCCTCTTCGTGTATACTTTCCAAAGGGTTCTTGTTTATCGCTAATCTGTAGAGCCCTGAAATATAGAAAAATTAATTAGGCAAAACTTAAAACTGCCACGTTCTTTATAGATACCCCACATTTTCACGTATAAGTATCGATTGTATTGTACTTACCACTAGCAAAATAGTCTAGGGGGACTCAATTAAAATCTGAATGACTAATTTGGATATTAACATGAATAAATCATTTAGGTAACATTTTTGCTGTTTCTTCGGGTATTTGAAGCAAAAAGTATTCGAGATTCGGCGTACATTGTAATTTGTTCATTCCTGTTATTGTCTTACGGTTGAAATTGAACGATCCAGTATCACTATTGTTTTCATAAATTTAAGGGTAATGGTAAATACAGATATGTAATCAAATAGCTTTATCGGAAACTCTTTATCGACTCATAATTGAATCTTTTCGTTTGCGAACATTTCGTCTTTTCACATTAAAAGTGTACAATTTTCCAAAATATTCGAAATTGAGTTAATATGCGGAATCATTTGGTATCATCAGTATTTTTCTAATAAATACTATCAAAAGAGCGTAGATTAGTTTTTTTTTTTTTTAGTTTACCTATGTTTTGACTACATTAATTCATAATTTTATCTTACTTTAATAGACAGATAATGTATCTGGTAAAAAATAAAAAAATAATGTTGCAAAGATGATTAATATTAAAAATATCACATGTTAAACCTTTGAAACACTCTCCTGTAAAATTAGTAAGTTTTGAGATTATCTTATACCTTTAAACGAGCAATTCTTTTATATATATAATCTGAATCTCAGAAACGGCTCCAACGATTTTCATAAAATTTAGTACACAGGGGATTTCGGGGGCGATAAATCGATCTAGCTACGATTTATTTTCAGAAAATGTTGTTTTATTCGTGTTTTCAATAATCAACTCTTCCCGACATCTATTGGCGAATAATAATACTATTTTTCTTAATTGAGGGCAACTAACCGCTTTAAAGACACAACAAGATGGCGTTATCAAAAAAAAAACAGGTAATCATCTAGTACAGTTTTAATGTGAGAAGACGATTTGTCCTGCGAGTCTGACTGAGTCTAGGCGTACCTGTTGCTTAATTGCTTCCGGTTAGCTCGGATGACCCGCTAAACGACTGACAAAGGGGTAATGTTCTGTCGATTCCGGATAAAGGTTTCTGAGAAACGAACGCTATTTTTGTTTTCTTTTTTGTGTTCATCTTATGAACTTGTCGATAAATAAAGAATTTTTATTTTTGACTAGCCGACTCGGCAGACTTCGTAGTGCCTCAATCGATAAACAAAATACCTCAACTTTTGTATAGAATAAACAAAAGGAATCCTTCCGACGGGGGACACATAAAAGGAAAAACAAAATTGTTATTTTTATTTAATTCCGAGTATTTTCATATTTATCTACCTTTTAAACCTTCCCTGGACTTCCACTAATAATTCAAGACCAAAATTGACCAAATCGGTCCAGCCGTTCTCGAGTTTTAGCGAGACTAACGAGCAGCAATTCATTTATATATACATATATAGATATAGATGGAACTTACAAATGAGCTAGCTACTTTTTAATAGATTTGATTAATAAAACAAATAGATCGCTCGTACGATCGTTTGAGGTTATGATTTTTTATTTACAGTTGTATTAATAGTTAACATACAAAAAAGGTTATTTATATTATGTTTTGAAATAACGACACGTACACTAGACTGTAGAACACGTAAACAGTAGGTCTCGGTTTTTTTTTATTGCTTAGATGGGTGCACGAGCTCACAGCCCACCTGGTGTTAAATGGTTACTGGAGCCTATAAACATCCACAACGTAAATACGTCACTCACCTTGAGATATAAGTTCTAAGGTCTCAGTATAGTTACAACGGCTGCCCCACCCTTCAAACCGAAACGCATTGCTGCTTCACGGCAGAAATAGGCAGGGTGATTGTACCTACCCGTGCGGACTCACAAGAGGTCCTACCACCATCACATTCTTACTAATAGAAACTAAAACGAAGTATACAGAAATCATACCTGTAGTTTGAAAGAACTGTGGCTCTAGATCCCGGATCTTGTTTCCAGTTAGCTGCAGCATGAACACCTTGGAGTTGTTGATGGTACTGGGGACCCTTAGAAGAGGTACATGATTGCAGGTCACGATGCCGAGATCTGCAGCTGGTTTTGAACAAGTGCAGAGCGCTTGGAACAAGCATGGCGGATGTCCCGTGTCCACATGAAGCTGTGAGAGGAAATACGCTTTTTAATTACGATTTAAATACAGCCAGAGCTCCATAAATAAGTCGTCGTGGCCTAAAGTATAATCAGCTTACTGAGTTTCTCGCCGGACCTTCTAAGTGGGTCGCGTTTCCGATCCGGTGGTAAATTCTGCGAAGCACTGCCCTTGCTAGGGTCAGTGTTACCAACACTCCGGTTTGAGCCCCGTGAGCTCACCTACACACGTTAGGGCGTAGCTGAAAAAGCCTCTCAAGGCAATCAGCATAGAAGACGTCTGGTGCATTCATATCTTGTGTTGCAACGGTGTTCGAATCCCGCAGGCCTAGGCGGGTACCAATTTTTCTAATGAAATACGTACTTAACAAATGTTTACGATTGACTTCCACGGTGAAGGAATAATATCTTAGAATTGATATCTCACGGTGGGTAGCGCATTTACATTGTAGATGTCTATAGGCTCCGGTAACCACTTAACACCAGGTGGGCTGTGAGATCGTCCAACCTAAGCAACAAAAACCATAAAAAAATTTTTTAAAAAGATATTCTTAATCGATCCTGTGATTGACGAGTTCGACTGGCAACTTGCTTTGAATGTATTCAGGTAATTGAAAAAAAAAATTAACTTGCTAAATATAGATTTCCTTATGCTAATAACATATATACTTACAAACAAACAAACATTTAAAATTTTAAGGACACTGAAACAATATACTATTGTCATAAATAAAATATATACAGCTTTCTTATTCTTCATAATACAATGCACTAGTGAAAACTAATCATTCTGGTTCCTACAAATAAAAAGAAGCTAAATAATTTAAGGGAACGAACCCAGGAATATCTTTTTCCCGTTTGCGCGAAGTTGGGATAGCCCCTTAGGCTACCAGCGAATATGTAGGGGGAGAAAATCTGGCACCAAGTTTGGCTTAATTACTATGTAGACCTCGGACGAGTGTTTTTGTATCTTTTGCACAGAAAAAATTGGTGATGGCTTTAGATCAGTGGTTCCCAAACTCATTTTGTCTACTGCCCACTTTGGAAATAAATTCTTTTTTAGCGCCCCCATTTTTTCACCTACTTAAAAACCGCTATAGCGAGAGCTTAATCGGTGTCTGAAAGTCTTCCTAGGTGAAATTAAAAATCGCCTCTCAAGCCTTTACGCAACGCCCCCTTTTTTTGGCTCTCTCCCCGCCCCCCATTAGGCCTGCAGCGCCCACAAGGGGGCGTTATCGCCCACTTTAGGAAAAGCTGCTTTAGATTATCCACTGAATCTCGTATATGGTTTAACAAAAATCAATGCGTTGGCAAAGTATCCTTGAAATCGCCACTCAAAAACGGACAGGAAAGAGGTCCAGTTGTCATCCAACCCACAGTCTTCAGTATCGAAATATGGAACCCTCATTAAAACAAAAAAAACAATATCAAAACCCGTTAAATAAAAGTGCTGAAAATCATCTAAATACTATAATTCGTTAAGGTAAACCCGAAAGTTTAATGAAGTCCCTAATTATATGTACATATTAATGTTTAAATTACGATGAAATTCTTCGAGCGTATAAATGTAACCAAGCATATTCAGATGCAAACAGTCGAAAAGTGGGTCGCCTATGAATTGAGTCTTCAAAATCACACTGAGCGTACAACCTACGTTCTGCCTCTGATCTGATTATGGACGCGAACGCGTATGCTAATGGGGTCTGCAGTCCATACAATATTACGGGCAGCACACTGTTTTCAAAATTCACTAACTTTGATTATAAGCAAAATAAATAATCGTTTAAAAATACTAAAAAAATACGTTTTTATAGAAAATCCCAATAAAAAATAGAAAATAAATCTTAATAAATTTGAATTAAAAATAGTGTAAGAAAAATATATTTTATTGTAAAAAAAAAGGTTTTTTTTTATAAAAGCGTTTTTATTAGTTTTTTTTAAACTATTATTTATTTTTCGTTTTTTAGTTGAATATCATTTTTTTCAATTTTTTTCTTTAAACTTTTTTTTAAATATTAAATTGTCATCGGTCCTTAATAAGTATACCAAATTTCCAGTTAATCCGACGTTTTGAAGAGGTCAAAATCATGTTCAAAGATTCTGTTACATACCAACATACATACGTCTGAAGCTAATAAAAGCGTATTAAAAAACCACGACTTGGTTTTCTTTTTCTAAGGTTTAATTGCCCGCTAGTCATAGTTATAAGAGCATCGGGTGTATCTTACCAATTAGGCCAGGGACGTTTAGTATCGAATTACCGAACTGCTCAATGTGAGAGTACTTAACAAGTTAATGAATGTATCGATTAAATATTTCGTTCAACTGTCAACGGTAAATGATAAAATCGTTTAAATTCAAACTAACCTCTATAGCTCGGGACAATGACGCCCATATCATCAGCAGTAAGGTCACAGCCACCAGGGTGTAACCAAACTTCACCACCGCCATCAAACTCTGCAACAAAAAACCCAAGTTTAAAAAAAAAGTGTCTAAAACACATTAAGAACTAAAATACAGAAAATTTCACTGCCGGCATGCACAGTGTATTATGACTCTAAGGTTTGAGCACCGGTGTGCTTAGTGCGAGTTTTTATACGTTCTCGATAGCGTAAAAGTTCGCTCGAATTTGTATGCAGTTGGAACAGCGCCCCTAGCGGCAAACGTAGGCAAACTTTTTTTTTTTATTGCCTAGATGGGAGGACGAGCTCTCAGCCCACCTGGTGTAAAGTGGTTACTGGAGCCCATAGACATCCACAACGTAAATGCGCCACCGACCTTGAGATAAATCTTCTAAGGTGTCAAGTATAGTTACAACGGCTGCCCCACCCTTCAAACCGAAACGCATTACTGCTTCACGGCAGAAATAGGCACCCACCCGCGCGGACTCACAAGAGGTCCTAACACCAGTAAATCAATTCAACTCTATACCATTTTGAGTTAATTTTTACTCTATCGAAAACGTTAAAAGTCTCGCACTAAGCACACTGTACAGTTGTCGTATGAAGTGATGATATTAAACTAGCTTTCAAAGCTTGCAAAGAATTGTCATTTTGTATTCACAAAGAACTTCCACGATGAAGGAGTGATAGATGTAATACAAACTCACAAAGAGGTTATATAAATTTTCGTAATTACGGATTATAGGGCGTATCGTTAGACCAGTTCTGGTTATAGATCTGGTAACTAGCTACTTATACGAATTCTACTAAATTACAACAATAAAAAAAAGAACCATTTTATCGTCGATTTTTGTCCAATTTATGATAAGAGATTAATTTTGATTCTTACAAAGGCATTAGAAAATCTCCGTGGTATATCCGAGCTCAAACATTACAACGATATTGGCAAACGAACTCATTAATTTTATGATCCATTTTAGAATTATTTGATCGGATTAATTTACGTTTGACTACGTACGAATAAAATGTGATACTTTTATCTTTTTTCAAAATCCAAATCGTATAATGAAAAACGGATAAAGTGAACAGAAACTCAGAAAGAAGTAGCAACAGACGTCCCTAATGTAATGACACATAATGTAAGTTAAGGGCAAGAACAAGAAAAATAATCATACGTTTGATTATGCAAGAAGGTTTTGTCAACTTCAATATGAAATATATCTTAAACTGGACATAGTAGAAGACATATTATATCATAAAGAGACCTCTTAGTTTATCATTGTTGAATTAAAATTTCCTTGAATTTACTCTTATTCTTTTTCAACTATCATTTTAGTCATTACGGCATATCTGATGTCGTTTCAAGTGAACAGTCGTGTTTAAGTATCAAAATAGTTGTAAGTCGCCTCGCTATTAAATGGTCGATGGAATCCATATGCATATTAGAATTTGAATGTCGATATCTACCTTGTAACGTGTTATCGAAATGTCTACTTTATTTGTTGCGCAGAAAGGTGTGTAATCTCATGGTGTTAGTAATTAGAGTAGCCGGAACATGATTGCCTCCACCCTGAGAGATGCAGTCGAAATAGCAACTATATTAAAGTACCTTTGAATCTACAATTATGGTTTACCTATCGATGCGGATATTTCAAAAAGCGCTTTACTACTTAATAGTAAATAAATAATAGTTTTAAAAAAACAAAAAAAAAAACGCTTTTATAGAAAATCCAACTAAAAAATAAAAAATAAATTTTAATAAATTTGAATTAAAAATAGTGTAAGAAAAAATTATTTTATTGTAAAAAAAATCGTGGGGTGCATGTACCAGTAGTTATAAATATTTTATGAACAGATATGAGTAGAAGGGTTATTTTGATAATATCCTGAAAAGCACCCCACGCTTTTTTACAATAAAATCATTTTTTCTTACACTATTTTTAATTCAAATTTATTAAAATTTATTTTCTAGTTTTTTTAAATTATTATTTATTTTTCATTTTTTAGTTAAATTTAAATTTTTTCAATATTTTTTTTAAATATGAATATGAATTTTTATCGGTCCTTAATAAGTATGTCAAATTTCTAGTTAATCCGACGTTTTGAAGGGGGTCAAAATCATGTTGAAAGATTCCGTTACATACATACGTCTGAAGCTAGTAAAAGTGTACTAAAAACATAAAATGCAAACTGAAGTCAGATATTAACACGCTACCCGCAGACAGTATATAGCTTCTTCTAAACATAGAATTGGATTATCATCAGGAGAATAGTGTTGTGATGTTGAGAAATTTTTCGTTTTCGGTCCCCGTGGAATACATGTAGAATTCGTAACTACATACGTGCTACATATTTAATATGCTTCAGTGCTTCAATAAAATATTCCACTAGTACCACGACAAATCATGCGATGTTCAGAGGTCAATACTGCGGATGTTATGTAATATCCTAAGCGAATCACTACTTACTCTTGTTCTTTCACCAGATAAATCTATCACCAGATTATTATTTCTGATTGGATTTTAGATTGACGATAGGAATTTTGTTGCAATACATTTGCTTTATTTTCAGCCATTGCTAGTGATAATATATAATATTTTCAGCCATTGCTAACGATATTTTTTTTTTTTTTAAACAACCACCCCACGTTAACTGGTCCCGTGATAAGTTCGTAAAGAACTTGTGTTACAGGTACCAGATAACTGATGTAAATGTAAGATTTTTATTATACACATACATATATTTAATAGACATCCATAACCCTGGAAAAGACATTTATATTTATCATACAAATATCTTCCCTTGGCGGGATTCGAACCCCCCTCGCGTAGTGCGACCCCCTCGTGTAGTGACCATGTCATTTACCACTACACCAGACGGCCGTTAATATTCTTTGTTTAATTTGTCAAATTTTATCGATAATGCTCTTACGCTATTTGTTTTCTTGCGAACTCAAAGCTTTGTGGAAACGCCAACCATCGTCCAGGTTCGATTCTGTGTCCGTAGAAATAACTAAGGATTGACTTTAAGTTAGTAAAAATAGCACACGTAATTTAATACAATAATGTTGGACTAGCGCTAGGTTGACTTAGTCGAGCATACACATGTGATGAATAATACATTACGTGACTGAATGTCACGCTAGGACAAATAGCGATTGACCCAAAATCGACTACCATTGTTGGTCCGAGAGTGTTTCTCTGTGTACGTATAAGCACACACTTAATATTAGAGGTATTAGACAATGTTTACTGTAAAATTATTAATAACTAGCGGCTCGCTCCGGCTCCGCTCGGGTTTTTAACACAAATTTCAACGATGTTTGATGTTGTCTTATTTTTAAAAATAAAATAACACTTATTGTGTGCGGCAGTATATGTCTAATTATAAAAATTAGACATATACTGCCGCAACACTTTTTGTAAATAATAATGTGTTCTACAAAGTAGTAGTACATTATTTTATTCTATCATCAATAGTTTTCGCAAGGCAGGCGATGTAAAGAATATTTTAGGTAATTTTTTTACACTTTGGGTTATATTACTGGAGTTTTAGTAAAGATTCCTAATTTTTTTCAAAAAAGATTAAAGCCTATGTCACTCGGGACTGGTGTAACTTTCAAACAGTGAAAGAATTTTTCAAATCGATCCAGTAGTTTCGGAGCCTATTCAATACAAACAAACAAACAAATCTTTCCTCTTTATAATATTATTAGTATAGATATTCACTTGTTTATTAAGCTGTGTGGTGTCGAAAAATAATAGCAATTCGCTGAATGTGGGCTGCGCAAACCCGGTCATTGTGACAAACTTAGGACGAGCCCTCTTTCCTGCAGTGGACGTCGCAGTAGGCTCATGCCGACGATGATTAATTTGTTTTCCTATTTTCAAATTAGCTTGATATTAAAGCGTCGCTTTCGTTTTTACACTATGTTTTTCTTCTAAAAAAATCACAATGGTAGCTAGTACCTTCTTAATGTCCATAAAGAATAATTGCCGTCTTCCTAAGGATGATATAATGTATTTATATTATATATTAAACACGTATATTAGACATGAACATTACTTGATATTGAATTATTTTTTTTTATTGCTTAGATGGGTGGACGAGCTCACAGCCCACCTGGTGTTAAGTGGTTACTGGAGCCCATAGACATCTACAACGTAAATGCGCCACCCACCATGAGATGTAAGTTCTAAGGTCTCAGTATAGTCACAACGGCTGCCCCACCCTTCAAACCGAAACGCATTACTGCTTCACGGCGGAAATAGGCGGGGCGGTGGTACCTACCCGTGCGGACTCCCAAGAGGTCCTACCACCAGTGATTACGCAAATTATAATTTTGCGGGTTTGATTTTTATTACACGATGTTATTCCTTCACCGTGGAAGTCAATCCAATCAAATTAAACAAATAGAGTCATTTAAATACAACTGGTCCTTGATTTGGGCCAATTTTCAAGGGAGTTGGAAGTCTTCAAGTTGATTAAAAAACTACATTGAACGATTCAGTTACATGGATAGATAAATAGGTCAATAGGGGTGTAGCTCATAAAATCATGTAGCAAATAATAAAGATGTTGCTTCTTCTGATTTTAAATTACAAATATATGTATATGAAATTCGATCACGCAAGATATTTCGGAACTGGCCGAAATGTATGTAACAAAATAATTCAAATCGCACAGCATGTCACAAATGCAATTGAAAATGGAAGTGGATGATTTTCTGGACAGCTCCTTAACGAAGAAATTGTTGAAATAGATATCGATAAAACTTCTATTTTCGGTTTTGAACAATAGATTGGTTGTTATCATGGTGGTCTTTTCACTTTCGCGCTTTTTCGCGTGGATACCGACAGCCAGGGTAGCGATCATAATGTCATCTAAAAATGGTTATGTTTCTATGAGGGTTCCTATTTGTTTGACTTCTACCTTCGCGTATTCGATTTGTAATTTATTATTGTATTATCAATGTATATTCGAGAAAACGGGTAATTTGTGATACCATATCGGAATGCAGACCGAACGTTATTGGATTTTATGTAACAGCCGTGT